TAGTCGAAGTAAAGTGATTTTATTTTTTACAGGATTTACATTCCTATAGATCTGGTACCCACAGATTTCTAAGGGCAATTTTCATGCAAAATATGCTGAGTTTCTCTTTCGCTTCCGGTTTAACTTTCGGGGAATTCCCTACAGCCCTTCTCGGAAATTCGCGAAGATCAAGCCATTGGCAAACTATGACGGACCAAGGAAATTGCTGTTAAGTTGTCTTTTAATAACCTATTAATTGCTAATCAAAATTTCAATATCCCTACTGATTTATTCAGAATGAAAGAGGGTACAATTCGGGTCAGATTTAAATTTACGGCTGGCATGCCACGATATTCTGTAACACTCTATTCAAGCTCTTCATAATTCATTTTGTCTGCAGAATATTTTATGTATCGTGTTTTTCTCGCTGGAAAATGGCAGGTTGTACGTTCAGCACATTTTTGTTCTTTATAACTTGATTTTCAGAACTGTAGATTCCTCGGCCCCAGGTCAGCTACGTGTAGCGTGGCGCGTGACGTCGGTAAGTGCCATGACAAAACTATTGATCTTCCTGAGATTTTACTTTAATGATGTATAAGAGCAGCTGAAAACTAATATTCACACAAATTTTCGTTCCGAATGGGTTCTTGGTTTTGTGATAGACTACGCTTGAATTTCGAAGCTTTTGCGTGACGCGGCATTTGCATGACGGCGTCATGATGGCTAAAAAAGTGACTTATTTCGGGGAATTTGGCTATCTGAACAGTTCATGACTTAGAAAAAGTATTATTTTAATGTTTTAGAGTTCCGCGAGGGATAAATTCACACTTTTGCAGTAAAACTCAGTGACAGATGTTTCTGTTGGTTTCTGGCCGCCATGTTGGTGCCCATACAGATGGGCACCAGCATGGCATCTCCATACTAATCTCTATAAATTTGGGTAAAAAATTTCTCCGCATATCTTGCAGAAGAAAAATTGCTGTGACCAGAATCTTGGCGAGAGTCTTTGCATATTTACTTTCTTTTATTTCCCAGATTCTGATCTATTTTGATCTATTTTGAATGGCGTGACACTGAAAACCAGTAATTACCCTCATATTATATCACATTTGAGAAAACCGAGAGTCTGTATTGCGTGACGCAAAAAAACACAACAACAACAACAAAAAAACTAGTGAGACAATCTCAGATGGTGCGGAGTGCAATGGATAGCTCTCACACAGTAGTCACAACACAGGTCCTCACTCGGTAGTTAATTAGGGCTTTTACCCTTGCAGATTATGAACAGCCAGAAACATACCTAATTACAATTATTGTTGCCGAGACAGCTTTGAATTTTACTATGATTTATTCTTATTTTTTATTTTTTTTTTTTAGTTTTTATTTTACTCTTTTATTTACAGTTCAATGGCTTACATCAATTTGTAAATAGGCTAAAAAATTAATTTATGCTTCTTGATCGCTTAACCTATCCACACTATATCACATTGCCTCGGCTGAGCTCTCTTTGCTGGAGTTAACTATAATTGAGGCCATGATCTGCCATATTTTGGCCACCTTCATGGCCGTTTATTTGATAACAAGTAAACCAATTTACATGAAATCTGAGACCCTAATTTATTTCCAGCAAAGGTGAGGGCAAACCCGCCTACAATAAAAGATCCACGAATGAAGCTATGCATTGTGGAAGGGAAACAGGGTGGGAAAAAACCGTTTCCTTTGTGGAGCTGAAGAAAAAGAGGCCTGTAAGTTGTTCTATGCCGCTTATGTATGCCCGGAATTTGAGTCCCGTATGTAAACTGATCGTAGTAAACAAAACATTAACCAGCGTTGTCAGGCGCATAAAATCAGTCATTCCTCTAACCTCTAACTATAAAAATTGAGACCATGATTTGCCATACTTTGGCCATCTTCATGGCCACTTATTTCATAACAACTAAACCAAATTACATGAAATCTGAGACCCTAATTTATTTTCAGCAAAGGTTAGGGCAAACCTGCCAAAGCCCTTTCTGCGCCAAAGAGAAAGGGCAGCCCCACCCGAAGCCAAGGCAATGGACAATATGAACGCAATGAAACCCTTAACAATTTTTAAATTGTTAAGGGTTTCGTTGCTTAAAAGCTGCAGCCGGGTGGCCCCTGCTCACCCAGTGCAAAATATTATAAAACATTGAAAATAACGAAGTGACCTTCCTGAAAATGTAAAACCTCAGTAACACTTGAACCCGTACACTGCTGGGAGTGTTCGATACCTAATGTCTCCTTACAAAAGCAAGGTGAAAAAGCAGAAAGGTGTTCGAATCCAGAAAATTGTCAACTGGGGGATATTAGATGATGCAACCAAAAGGGGTGAGACCAAACAGCAGCACGACAGCAGGATGAACGATGGTAAGGAGAATTTACATGGACATCCCATGAGTAAAAGGGTTAAGCCTGGAAGCAAACCATAACACCGAAACTGATGGCCCCTGCTCAACAGGTCAGTGCGAAAGCAGCTGCACGCTGATTTGACTGTAAGGCACATTTATGGCTCCACTTGACTATAAGGCACACTTATGGCTCAACTGGAGGCCTTTGCTCAGCAGTTGGAGCCCTAATAGTACATGATTATGTACAGCCCCAGTGCCAGGATAATTGGCCCCTGCTCATAAAACCTGGTAGCACTGGTTTAATGATCTTGAACATGAGGAAGTACCATAGGGTACAGTCAGTTAGCCCCTTCTCAAAAGCTGTACCCTGTAGGTAAATAAATTGTGAAGTACAAATGTTAACCATCGTGAGCATATGGTACATAATCGCTGCTTGCTATGACCCTGACCCTAAAGAAGGAGTCCTAATGTAACGCAAGAAGGCGTTGGATTTCCATCTGCCGAAAGCTCTAATCTGTGCATCTGACATGCCCTTGGCTGCTGCCCATGAAGGTGCTCTAATGCGAAAACTGTGAGACTTATAACCTGCTACATCGAGGTCGCAATAACGAAGTGCATCCGATAATGCCTTAGTGAAATAAGTGTGAGAAATTGGCGAAGCATCTGCCCAACAAAACAGGGGGCCCGAAGAAGAACGATTTTGTTTTCAAAATGCAAATTTTATTTT